AGGTCGGTCGCCGCGAGGGCTGGCAGGCTCGCGCCCTGACGGTGCCCCGCCCCGGCCCAGCACTGCGGCGATGGAGAGCCCGCGCCGCGCCGTCGCCTGGACCACCTGGCGGCTGGACGTGCGCCCGGGCCGCCGGTGCCACAGGCTTCTGACCAGCATGCTGAGCATCAGGCCCCAGGTTCCTCCGCGGGTGCTCGCAGCAGTCCTCCGCTCGAGCATGCACACTCGGATGACGGCCCGGAGGTGGCAGACGATCGGGCGCCGCAGGCTCGGGTGCAGTCGAGCCGGCGACTCGCTGGAACACTATTGCCAGTGTCCGGTGCACCACGATCTCTGTTGGCAACATCTGCGCCTGGAGCGCCCGGAGGCCGCGGCGCCTTTTAGTGACTTCCTCCTTATCTCTCCTTGGCACTTGTTTGTGGATGGCCCTCAGGAGGGCGGGGCGGCACTGCCGGTTTGAGAGCTCCCAGTGTTTTTATGCTTTCTACCGCACGCACAATGCTACGCGGCACCCTTCATGCCGGAGGGAGATGCGCAGCACAGAGCTCTTCCGCGGCTTCCTGCGCGAGGGTGCGCAGGGCCATGGGCCATCGGCCACATTCGTCTCTGCGGTGCACAAGTTTCGACGCCAATCTTAGTAGTTATATATGTTGCAGTGGCCAGGTGTTGATTTTTCGTCTGTTCCCCCTCCTCCTCCTTTTCCTTTCCTCCTCCTCTTCCTCCTCGTTTCCTCCTCCTCCCCCTCCTCTCTTTTCGTAGGCTGCGTGGGCGGCCCTCGGTGCTTAACCCTCCCCGTACTCCTTGCATGGGAGAGGCCCGCTTCGTTCGCTGTCGTCGGGTGCTGCGGCTGCGCTTGGTGGATAGTTTCGACCCGATTTCCGTTTCTTGGCCTCCCCTGTTCTTCCCTTCTCTTTTCTTTTCTCCTCCCTCTTCCTTAGCCCGCCCTTTCTGGCCGCCTTCCGGCGGCCTGTTTTTCGATCGTTTTTTGTTGTTGTTGCGTTGATCCTGCAGGGTAATCCGCAGGTGCCGCCCGCCGGAGCTCGTTGCTGTCGTCATATTTGTCTTCCTCCCCCCCTCTTGCCCCGAGCTGCGTAGATGCAGTGGAGGTAGCCATTGGATTGCTTAGTGCGTGAGCCTGGCGCCCTCCGCCTGGAGTCTTCGAACAATCTGAAGGCCGTTCTCGCGACTGCCCCAGCTGCAGGTCGGCAGTGGTCGGGGCGTGCGGCTGCTGGAGCCCACCAACGGCGAGTTCCAGCCCCTCCAGGCTGCCCCTGCCGGTCCTCCGGCGGCGACGCCCCCCAGCTCTGCCGCCCGCGGTTGCCACCGGCAGCCCGCCGCCGCAGCGGATCCCGCAGCGGCTAGCAGGACTTGGTGAGTTCGAGGTCCCGTTAGGATCTGGGTAGCACCGCCCGCGCCAGTGGGCTGGCGTTGCAAGCGCAGAGGACTATGACTGCTTGAGCGCTGGCAGCAGAGCCGGTGGTTCTCTCGCGGGTTCGCGTGCAGGTCCCGCGCAGGTCTGGGCAGCACCGCGTTCCGCCGGACTTCCCGCGAGTCCACGAGAACGGCTTCACGTGCGCGCGTGGCGCCAACCAGGGATCGGCGATGGATTGCTCAGAGCTGGGCTGCGCCGCGCTGCCTCACGAGCACGGCGACAGTTGCGCACAGGGCGGCGCACAGGGAGGCGAGGCAGGAGGCAGGAGGCACGAGGCGGGTAGGAGGGATGAGGTGATGAGGCGTGAGGAGGAATGTGAGGAACAGGACCGGAGCAACGAGGAAAACGGGGAAGGAGGAAGGGTGCGAGAAGGAGCAGGGTGAATGATCAGTGCTCCTATCACAACGCAGCCCTAACCAAAGCAGGGTTTGGAACAATGAGGTGCTTTGCCTGCCTCCCCCCCGTTGCTTCCTGTTTCGCCTCTTCCTTTGTGCCTGCACTCGGCTGCAGCACTGACAGACCATAACGCCCTCAAGAGGGGAACAAATGGACGGAGGACTCTCAGGAGGGGACAAAAATACACAGACACAATTAATCCTCCACCCCCAGGAAAATATGGGAAAATACCGGAAGTTGGGGGGAGACAGAAACCGAGAAAATATGGTTTATATAGGGAATCCCTTCATTTGCGTGTATTTATTTGTGTGTCGTCCTCACGACTTTGAAATGGCCTCCGGGCTGCCGCCCTCTGCGCGTGCCCTCTGGTCTGTCCTGGGCCCTGCCGGCACGCGGAGGAGACCCCGTGTGCCTCCCCGCTGGGTCAACTCTGCCTGCGCGACCCCAGACGCACTGAGGGTGTGGGTGTTCGACCCCGCTGCCCTAACATGCTTTCCTTCCTCCCCTCTTGCTGTCCTCGTGCCATTAAGAGAGAGAGAGAGCGAGAGAGGGAGAGGGAGAGGGATATGAATAGATATAGACTGACAGAGAGAGAGAGAGAGAGAGAGAGCGAGAGAGAGAGGGCGAGACACAATAACCACAAACAAGACCACACATACCATATCGAGGGAGCCAAATGGTCATTTACTGTCCCTGGGCGCCTGGCTGAAGTGATGGTCTGCGGTGCGCATTGTTGTTGCCGTGGTTGTTGTTGTTGTTGTTGTTGTTGTTGTTGTTGTTGTTGTCGTCGTGGTTGTTGTGATTGTCGTTGTTGTTGTGGTTGTAGCTGTTGTTGTTCTGGTTGGTGTTGTGGTTGTGGTTGTGGTTGTTGTTGTTGCTGCTACTGCGGTTGAACTTTCATTTCTGAATAATATTTATTTTGGATCCCCCCTCACCGGTGCATACTGTTTTTCTAAATCAAAGTTTGCCCCTCGACGCTCGCACCCTGTTTTTTGTCAGGGGAAGTCTTGGTGGTCAAACTGTGCCCCTGGCCCCCGGGATTACAACAACAACGGCTCCCGCCTGAGATTTCTTCCAAATTTACTCAGGACCCCCGCTCCTGAGACTTCCTCACAATTTACTCAGGATCGGTGCTCCCGCCTGTGACTTCCTCGCAATTTAGTCAGGACCCCCGCTCCCATCTGAGACTTCCTCATCAGTTACTCAGGAACGGCGCTCCCGCTTGAGACTTCCTCGCAATTGAATCAAGACTTCCTCGCAATTTAATCAAGATTCCCGCTCCCGCCAGAGAACCCTTCACATTTTATTCAGGAATTGCGCTCTCGCCTGTGACTTCCATGCGATTTATTCAGACATCGCGCTTTCGACGCTCAGGAAACAAGCTGTGCCAAGGACGCCGTTACAATTTACTTTCCCGCTTGAATGTCCCACCCGCCCGACCCGCCCGTCAGGGGATCGCTCGCCCGTCGTGGGCTCCCGCCCGAGACTTCCTTCAAGAACGGCGCTTTCGCCTAGGACTTCTTCGAACGTTCACGCTCTTACCTTCCTGCTCCTCCTCCCTCTCCCTCCTCCCTCCTCCCTCCTCTCCTCCCTTCTCTCTCCCTCCTCTCTTCCCTCATCCTTATGCCTCTCTGCCCTCTCCCCTCTCCCTCCTCTCCCTCCTCCCTTCTCCCTCCCCTCTCCTGCCTCCTCCCTCCCTCTTTCTTTCTTTCTTTCTTTCTCTCTCTCTCTCTCTCCCATCTCTCTCTCTCTCTTTCTCTACCTCTCTCATTTTTGTTTTTTCTTCTTCCACTCTCTGCCTCCAATCAACCGCCCCCTTCTTCGCTCCTTCTCTCCTGGCGTTTTCCCTCTTCCTTCGTCCCGCCCCCTCCCTTCCTTCTCCCCCTCCTGTTTTTGCACGGCCCACACCAATTCCAATGGCGGGCACATGTACGCCCACGAAGGATTGTCCGCCCGTTCAGGTTTGCCCGCCTGTCAAAGCCTGCCGAACCCCGCAACGAGAAATAATCCCCGCAAAGGGGGTTTGTTCGAAGACAAAAAGGACGGGTATCGAGGGTGTCGGGAACCCGTTTTGAATGACACGCGGGCAAGTAAGAGCGAACAGTCTTATAATGATTGTTATTGTTGTTGTTATTGTTGTTTGTGCTGTTGTTGTTTGTTTGTTTGTTTGTTTGTTTGTGTTTGTTTGTTTGTTTGTTTGTTTGTTTGTTGTTGTTGTTGTTGTTGTTGTTCTTGTTCTTGTTTGTTGTCGTCGTCCCCCCTGCGACCTGGCCCGCGACCCACCCGCGACCCACCAGCGACCCATTGGCGACCCACCCGCGACCCACCCGCGACCCACCCCGCGGCCCACCCGCGACCCACCCGCGACCCACCCGCGGCCCACCCGCGACCCACCCGCGACCCAGCCCGCGACCCACACACATTGCTTAAACGAAAGATCGGCGCCTGCGGCCAGCTCGTTGTACAATTTGTGAAAATTAGGCGCTTGCGGCGGGCTTCTTCAAAGTTTCGCAGGCAGCCGACATCCCAGCCGCCTCCTCACTCTTATCCGCCACTGCGGGGTGCTACGTAGAGCCAGGGGGCAGCCGTTCTGACCAGATGAAGCGCCGAGCGTTGCCCGCGAGTCAGAGAGTACATGCCGACGTCTTGGAACACCTGGCGTGCGTCCGCTTCTCTGCTTGCGGCAGGGCCACTTGGTTCAAGGATCGTCCCAAGACGACCGTTTTGATGCTTCAGATGAATTGAATGGGCCATGCGCCCACGAGCACGAAGGCACGCGCACACGCATACAAGCTTGGACCAGCGCGCCACACGTACACCAAGGTACGCGCACACGCACACCAGCATGGATCCGCTCGCGCACGTGTACGGCGCATGCGCTCGGCGTCACCCTAACATCTTCTTACTCTGTGTGCGTCGCCCTTCCACGGGCGACGCGCGCGCCGAAGTCTGTTATAGCATAAGCTCCGTGTCGGGCGCTTTCAGGCCGTACAGCTCGGGAACGAGGTACTACAAGATGCTTGCACTGTATGTTCGGGTCGGACACACACACGCTTCCGAGGAGGACACATCGTACTCGTATGTCCTTCTGCGTCCCATGCACAGGCACGCACGCCTGCGAGCGTCCACGCGCGCTGGCACACACGCTCCAGACCCGCGCGACGGCGTGCAGGTCGCGCCCGGAGGCGCCGGCTGGGTGAAGCTGAACTCTGGCCCTCGCGCCTTCCTGGACTGCGCGGTGGCAGGCATCTCGCCGCGCCGCGGGTGGTGGGGAAGGGGTTTTCTCGACCAACAACAAGAAGCACCACTCCACCTGCGGCCCTCCATGTTGCGCTACGGCCCGCCTATAGTGGGCCGTAGCGTACACCACGCAAAACCCACGCCAGATTTCCTGGTATACGCCAAGCCATGCGTGGCCGTAGGTGGGGTGGCGTCGTTTGCTTTATGGTCCATTTTCGCACGTGCCGAGTACGTGGACGGGGAGGGGGAGGATGAGGATGAGGATGAGGACGAGGATGATGAGGATGATGATGATGATGATGATGATGATGATGATGATGATGATGATGATGATGATGATGATGATGATGATGATGATGATGATGATGATGATGATGATGATGATGGATGGTAATGATGATGATGCTGATGATGATGCTGATGATGATGCTGATGATTATGCTGATGATGTTGATGATGCTGATGATGCTGATGATGTTGATGATGATGATGATGCTGATGATGATGATGATGATGATGATGATGATGATGATGATGATGATGATGATGAGGACGAGGAGGAGGAGGAGGAGGAGGAGGAGGAGGAGCAGGAACAGGAGCAGGAGCAGGACCAGGAGCAGGAGGAAGGGGGAACATCGGAGAAGCAGGGGCAATGGGATGAAAAAGGGGGAGCAGAGGAAGAGCACGAGGAGAGGAGGACGTTGCCCCAGGCTGCTGGAGCGGCAGCAGCTTCACGAGGGCGTGCAGTGCATGGAGCGGGGCACGGCTGCATCGTGGGAGCAGGTGTCGGTGCGGAAAGCGGGGCTCCAGGAATGCGCGGGCCTGGCCAGCAGGGGCCATGCAGCCACAGCGGCGGACGGACGGGGGGCCCGACGGGGACGCTGCCCAGCCGGGGCCCGAATCCCCGAGAGGGCCGGCGCTGGCGCCTGCAGGCCTCGCGCGGGAGGGCCGGCTCGCCCACCGCCAGGGGAGGCGGGACTCCTCCTCCTCGTCCTCCTGCTGGTCGCCGTCGCGGTGCTCGGTCTCGATGGACGGATCCAGCCGTGGGGTCCCATCGCGCGTGCGAGGGAACGGGCCCCCAGGAAAGCTTCGGGGCAGTTCCAAAAAGGCTCGAGGGAGCCCCACGATGCCCCCTTCCCAGATGCGCCCAGGAAGCCTTCCGAAACGGAGTGCCGGGATCTTCTAGAGGAGGGGCCTTTTTGGGGCCTTGTTGGGGCCCTCTTGGGGCCTTCTTGGAGCTTCCTCGGGACCTTTCGCAGGGCCTCGGGAGAGCTCCGAGAAGGCCCGAGAGAAGCTTACATTCGACTCACGGAACAGGATGAAACGTGACCTATACCCTTCCAGCAGCCGAGTGGCCCAGGCGCCGCCCAGGGATGCCCGCAGCATGCCCACGCCTGTCAGACAGCGGGTGGTTTTGGAGCGATCTCAGCTTTGAGAGGAGGGGTGGTGCCAGATCACGTCAGAGGCCGAAATCGTCACGTCAGAGAGGCTCCTTTTCTGCATCCTCCTCCTCCTCCTCTCTCCTCCTCGCTCCTCCTCCTCCTCCTCCTCTCTCCTCCTCCTCCTCCTCCTCCTCCTCGCTCCTCCTCCTCGCTCCTCCTCCTCCTCCTCCTCCTCCTCCTCCTCCTCGCTCCTCGCTCCTCAAACCTCGCTCCTCGCTCCTCGCTCCTCGCTCCTCGCTCCTCCTCCTCCCCCTCCTCCTCCTCCTCCTCCTCCTCCTCCTCCTTCTCGCTCCTCTGACGTCTCCCACGTCAGAGGCCGAGTCGTCGCTTCTTGGGCCCCTCGTCGGGCGCTCCCGGTGCGCTCTCTCTGGGCGCCCCTTGGTGGCCGCCGTCTTGGAGCCCGCGTGGGCCCCTCGGGGTGTGCTGTCGCCGGGCTCTCTCGGTGGGCCAGCGTGTGGCCGCCTGGAGGCGTCGAGAAAGCGTCGGGAGCGAAACGGAGAGAGTGCAACAACCATTCTTTTTTCTCTTGAGGTTGGGGACGGATTTTGGTCCCTCGAGGGTGTCCTTGATCAGGAGGGACAAAAACACGCAGACATAATTAATCGTCGATGCCCCAGAAAATGTGGGAACATGTGGGAAGTGGGGGGGAAGACAAAAACCCAGAAAATATGGGAACATGTGGGGAATCTTTTTATTTGTGTGTATTTATTTGTGTGTCCCAGGGCCCCTTCAGAGAATGCAGCAACCATTACTTTTTTCCTTGAGGTTGGGGACGGATTTTGGTCCCTCGAGGGTGTCCCTGAGAACCCTCGCGGCCACTTTGAGTGTTCTTGGGGCGATCTTTGGGCCTTCGGGGAGGATGCTTGAGGCCATCTTCAGCAATTTTGAGGCATCCTGTGTATTCTTTGTGGCCATCTTTGACTACCTTGTGCGATCTTGCACCCGTTTTGGGCCATCTGGCCCGCGCCCCCCTGTCGATCCAGGGAGGGGTAGGGGGAGGGTCAAGTTCCCAGTGAGAACGCCGCAAGCTGTCTCGCTCACTCCCGCCCTCCCACATGAGCAGCACCCGAGTAGTAGCAGAGGCAGGGGCCGCCATCGACAGCCATCGGAAAGCAATGCGGGCGCCAGTCAGGTGCGCGAAGTCCGCCAGGAAGACTGCAGAAACACTGCCAGACAGCACTTGGCTTCTGCCGCGCCTCAGCGTGCCCGTGGACACGTTGGCAGATCCATGAGTCTACAGAGTCGCGCGCAGAACTTGGACGGACGCGCGTGCCGCCAGAATCCGCCAACGGGCCCAGGCGCATGCCGCGAGAAAGTTGGCGTGGTCAGGGCATGTGCGAATGAGCCCATCCAGCTGGGCGTGGCGCGTGACCACGTGGCGGGACGCCGAGTGGTCGGTAGGTTGCAGGCAATCTCATTGGTTTATGAGACCGTCCGAGAGAGTGCAGATGAAGTAGGACTGTCCCTTGCGCCGCTTGGTGGTGGATCACAGGGTGAGCTGGATGTCTACTGCGCGTGACCGAAAACAGTGGCCGAGTACGACAGAGCTTTTCTAAATGCTGGTGCTTCTGCGATGTAATACTCTTCGGCGTTCCAGGCCCGCACGCCCATGATTGGGCTTCTGCGCAGCAGTGCATTCTAGCAGATTCAGCAGATTCCTTTCTCTTACTCTAACCCCTTCGTACTCGATCTTTTTCCCTGGGCCCGGCTTTGACAGAGCAGCCGTAGCCTGGAAGATTTGGGACGGGGTGGGCCAGGAGCTCGGGCAGCAGATCGGTGCCCCAGGCCGGGCCCTAGGATGGTGGTGGATTCGCCCCGGTCTGCAGGGCTGCGTACATGCCATGCCAGGGCCCAGGACGGCCTTGGTCAGGCCCAGGGCGTCTCCCCCCCCCATTGAGAGCCCCTCCGCCCCGGGACGCTGTGCCCCCGTTGGAGGCCTGGAGATGGGCACCAACACCAAGACAGGGAGCTGCCTCCACAGGGGGGGAGGCGGAGGAGGAGGAGGAGGAGGAGTCAGAGGAGTCAGAGGAGTCAGAGGAGGAGGAGGAGGAGGAGGAGGAGGAGGAGGAGGAGGAGGAGGAGAGGAGGAGGAGAAGGAGGAGGAGGAGGAGGAGGAGGAGGAGTCAGAGGAGTCAGAGTAGTCAGAGGAGTCAGAGGAGTCAGAGGAGTCAGAGGAGGAGGAGGAGGAGGAGGAGGAGGCGGAGGAGGAGGAGGCCAGGATGTTATTGTTTTGAGAGCCCGCCGTCCCTCCCCCGCGCGGCGCCAGGGGTGCTCCCGAGCGGCTGTCCGCGCAGCCTCGCCATGGGCTCCAGGCCGGCCGGCCTGCCTGCCTGCCGCCGGCCGCGCCTGGCCCGAGGGCGCCGGTATGCTCAGGGGCAACGATGGTCGGGGGCGGAAAGGAGGGGGGTGGTGACTAGCGGGGGGTGGATATCATGGCGGGGGCCATGATATTTCCTCAGATTTCATGGCGCCTCTTCTTATTTCAACACGTCCCTGGCCCCCAACCTGGGCCGCGCACATGCCGCCGGCCATGATTTGCGCCCCCCCCTCTTTGACGCCCCCCTCTTTGCCGCCCCCGGGATGGGGGGGAGCAGATGCTCGTTTTGGGGACCTTCCTGGGGCCCGCCCAACGGATCTTTTCGACCCCAGTTCGACTCGAGTTCGACGCAAGCTCGACTCAGGTTCGACTCAAGGTCGGCTCGAATCGACGGACGTGCGGCGCAGCTTCCACGCACGAGTGGGGCGAGTGGCTCCAGGAAGGAAGGTCCCCAGAATGAGCAGCCAAGGGGGATGGGCACAGGGGGGGATGCATCGACCCCCAACCCCACTGGCCGCCGATAGGGGGCACGATAGCCCTAGCCTGCCCAGGAAGGTGCGGACTCACCGTCGGGGCCCTGCCGCCGACCCATCGGCAACGCATCGCCGATTCCAGGACGAGGAGGAGGAGGAGGAGGGAGGAGGAGGAGGAGGAGGAGGAGGAGGAGGAGGAAGAGGGGGAGGAGGAGGAGTCAGAGGAGGAGGAGGAGGAGGAGGAGGAGGAGGAGGAGGAGGAGGAGGAGGAGGATGAGGACGAGGAGGAGGTCGATGCATCCCCCCCTGTGCCAGCCAGTCCCCCCCCTATCGTTGCCCCTCGTGCTCGTGTCGGCCACGCGTCAAGAGTGACCTTTCGCCGGGGGGACCTGCTGGTGCGCGGCTTCTCGGGGGGCGCGTGGGGGCCAAGCCCAGGCACGCAGGCCCCGCCCCCGTCGCATCGCGTGCGGCGATCGGCCAGCCGTGCACCAGAGGTCAGTCTTGCCCGGGGTGGTTCTGGCGCTTGCGTGTGGCCACGCAGGCTTGGCCGAAAAAGATCGGGCCTACGTAGTCGGGGTTGCTGGAGAGCCCAGGGCAGAGATCTTACTGCTGCTCCCCCTTGCCCCTTGCCCGCTACTCTGTGCCCCCATTCTGCTTGCACCTTGTCCCCCATGATGACCTCGCCTTTCTACGCCCGCTGCTACCGGTCCCCCCCTGTGGCTGTTGGGTGTTGTGTGCAGCAGTGATTACCTCCAGTGCCTTGCTCGTGCATGCGATGGCCCAGGCTCAATTTGTTCCCTTTGACCATGTGCAAAATGTGGATTGCGATGCACTGTTGCGCACTGTGCAGCTTTGCTCGATACCGCGGAGACAGTCTCCTTTACGATGCCAAGACGATTTATGCAGACTTGGCCTTCTCGGCCTTGCTGGGGACCTTAGGAGCAACGTGTGACCGAGTTCTTTCAAGGTTGGGAGGACGAAGTGCGGGGAGGGGAGGACGTAGGAGGCTCAGGTGTGGCAGGTGGAAGCGGAGGCGGGCATTGAAGAGGGGGAGCGGCAGGGGGGGAGATCCGCAGGGAGAGGAGGAGGAAGAGGCGGAGGAGGGGACCGAGGCGGTGCAAGAAGACGTGGAGGAGGAGGTGGGTCAGGAGGATGTGGAGGAGGAGGTGGGTAAGGGGGGAGGAGGAGGAGGAGGAGGAGGAGGAGGGGAGAGAGGAGGAGGAGGAGGAGGAGGAGGAGGAGGAGGAGGAGGAGGAGGAGGAGGAGGAGGAGGAGGAGGGGGTTGAGGACAAGCTGGGTGCCTTCGCGTCATATCTGACGTCCTACCCCTCCCTCCCATCCCTTACCATGGCGCAGATCTCCTCTCTATTCGCACAATCGGATGTCGTAGCATGGCACAGTGTTACATGGCATAGCATGGTTTTGAAGATCGACGCGTAGAATGACATAGCACGGCGTGGCGACGCCCCATAGTGGGGGGGCTGATGAGGCCAAACAAATCAACGAATCGACATCGAATGTGTAGTCACTTCCGATGTTTTTTTTTCGGAGGGCCAGTTTCCAGATTTTGGGGCCTATGTGGAAGGACCGAAAACCATGCCGAGGCATGGCGCTGGAAATAATGACGCCAGCGCTGCAGCGGGAGCACGATTCGGAACGAGCGGAAGCGCGGAAATGAGGCCAGCGCTGCAGCGGGAGCACGAGTCGGAGCGAGCGGTAGCAAATGAAACCAGCGCTTCAGCGAGAGCAGCATTTTGACAAACAACCCATGCGAAAACCCGTTTCCCGGAATCCTGTGTGTAAGCAAGCCAAGACGCGGAGAGGGGCCGGGTATTTCCCGGACGCCACCAGAGGAGAGAGGAGAGTAGTATTCATATTGAATAATTGAGGTGGAGGAGGAGAAGGGATGAGTGAGGAGGATCGGCAGCAGAGGAATGCAAGTGAGGTGCGGGGAGGTGATGTGATTTTAAGGGGCTTGTGAGGGGAATGAGAAGGAGGCGGGCGCAGATGATGATGATGATGATGATGATGATGATGATGATGATGATGATGACGATGATGATGATGATGATGATGATGATGATGATGATGATGATGATGATGATGATGATGATGATGATGATGATGATGATGATGATGATGATGATGAGAGGAGGAGAGGAGGAGGAGAGAGGAGAGAGGAGAGGAGGAGGAGGAGGAGGAGGAGTAGGAGGGGTTTTTGGAGTGGGGTCAGGCGCATGTGGATACTCAGATGGGGGAGGTGGAGGAGGAGGAGGAGGAGGAGGAGGAGGAGGAAGAGGAGGAGGAGGGCGGCGACGACGACTACGTCGTCTACGACGGCGACGACCACGAAGACATGGACGACGTCGACGACGACGAAGACCTCGACGACGACCACGATGACGGGTTGAATGCCCCTGTGGAGACATACACAGGCGGCCCGCTTTTGTTGGGCGTGGTCGCTGTGATGCAGAAGTAGCCAGGTGGGGTACCCGTCAACAGACTTTGGGAGACGTGGTGGAAGAATAAGAAAAATAATATTAATAATAAGAAGAATAATAATAAGATCAAGAAGAGGGCCACGTAAAGAGTTGTACAACACGTCCCCAGGGCCGGAGAGCTTCCAAACACTGGCCAAGAGGGCAAGCGGTGGACCAAAACACAAGAGGCAGACTTAGAGCCAAACGGTGCATGAACACGCAAGTTCTTTCCCTCCATACAGTGGCCTCAATGGGGGCCGATGGGCGTCCAGGACGGCTAAAAATAGTTCTAAGATGTGACCCGACGGTCCACGATAGTCATCAGAAGGTCCAGGATAATCTAACGGTGGCCGCAGAAGCCCCACGAATGTTATCAGAAGAGGCTGCACGATACCTTCCTGACCCGCCCGTTAGGGTCTGCCCGCCCGATCTGCCCGTCTGGTTCTACCACGTGTTTTCTGCTTCGAGCCCTCCTCTTGCTAATTTTTCTTATGCTCTATCCGTCTCCATCCCCATTCCATCTGTCCTCTCTTTCCCTGTTCTAAGGGCTGCGCAAAATTCACGTGAGAGGTAAGAAATATACACCCTCAAGGTGGTACAATCGAAGACGAAGAGGGCTGGTTACCAAGGGTTTGGGATATACCTGTTTAAAGTTGCTATTGTTGTTGTTGTTGTTGTTGTTGAACATTATTAATTCTAAAGAATAATTATTGTTGGGCCCCCTGGTGCACGCCCCCCCCCCGCGCCTAGGCCGCAGCCACATTTTCATAATTTTCGTTAGGAACTCTCAGGTAAAGCGATGTCATCCAGATCCGGTTGTTTTGTTGACGCCCGCTTTCCCTGTCAAAAAACACTATAAAATGACATGTCTTGTTCTAACATAACCAAACTTCAAGAATCCTTTGCAAAAAATGACACGAAGTGCACACTCGCGCGCGCAAGATGAAATCCTTCCAAAACCTTAGTTTTCGTAGCGATTTTAACATAAAAACATGAAAAACCCAATGGTTTTTCAAAAAAAAGTTTCAAAAATTCATCTTGCGCGCTCTTGCGGATTTCTGAGGAAACCCAATATTTTTTCAACATTTCTGTCAAACGGGCTCTTGCGAGCAACTTTTTCACGTGCTTCGAACTTCTGCAACAACGGTTGCGCGCATGCCAGGGCCATCATCCCTGTCAAATAATACCATATTGGACACATTCGTTTTTTCTTCGCGCGCGCACGCCGTCGTCGTCGGCCGCGGGGCCCTGAATAGTAGCCACGGTCGTCCGCATGCCACGAAGTGAAGTGTCCGAACGTCATAGGGCGGGAAGCTGGGTGTGGGTGGTGGCGAAGAGTCGTTGGAAATTTGGTAGAGCTTGAACCGGCCCCCCCACAAAGTGGGGGTATTGCCCGCCTCCTATGAAAACCCTGGCACTGGTGAGAACGGAGTGTCCCCAGTCTTAAATGATTGTTGTTGTTCTTGTTGTTGTTGTTGTTTTTGTTTATGTTTTGTTGTTTTGTTGTAGTTGTTGCTGCTGCTGCTGCTTCGATTGTTGTTGTTGTTGTTTTTGTTGTTGCTGTTGTTGTTGTTGTTGTCGTTGTTGTTGTTTTCGCGGTTGTTGAGGTTGTGGTAGTGGTTGGGGTTGTGATTACGGTTGTGGTTGTTGTTGTTGCTACTGCTTTTGTTGTTACTGTTGTTACTGTTGATGTAATGGTTGTTGCTGGTGTTGTTGTTGTGGTGGTGGTGGTTGTTGTTGGTACATGATGACCATGCTAATGATGATGTTGCTGACGATGCTGCTGCTGATGATGATGAGGATGCTGCTGCTGCTGATGATGAGGACGATGATGATGTTGATGATGATGATGATGATGGTGATCTTGATGAGGGTAACGACGATGATGGTGAAGATGATGCAGCAGGATCCAGCCTCACCTGTAATGCAGGTTGCGCGTCACCGTGGGCGTCAACTTGATGAAGCGCAGGCCGCAGGTGACGAAGGTGCTGGAGGTGGCGGAGGCGACTTTGGGCGGCAGTAGGAGGAGTCGGAAAAGGTTTTAGGATGAGTATGAGCAGGATCGCGAACTCGGAGTAGAAGTCCGGAGGTATTAAGTAGAGAGTGGGAAGGATGATTATGATGTGGATTCGCTCGTCTGAATGATGCGTTTTATCTTAACTGACCTCGGTGTTGCCATCTTCTCTGCCGGTTCAGATGTGCAAACTGTTCTGAATTGTTGTGTATTACAGCGCCAGATCATCCTAGAAAGGTGGAGGTCGTGCCGACCTTTCCGTCGCCTCTGGTAAAACATTATGTGCCCAAGTTTCCTGTCAGATGTTCGCGGTGCGAGGCCGAATACGGCTGATCGCTACTCATCGGTTGTACGCAGATGGCAGCCAGCGTCTCGAGCTACTTCGCTTCGCTTGCCCTCCCATCTTTCGCACTCGGTGTCAATTCGGTCTGCATGGTTGACTCGCTGCCGTGCTAACATTGTTGTCGCCTCCTGGACTTTGCTTGCGCTGATGCACGAACACAGCCGGACCTCGCAGCGCTTTGAAAGTGCTATCATGCTTCTCCTCTTTCTATCTTCATCAGCCCCTCCCCTGCTTCCCCTCCTCTCGCCTTCTCTTGCGCACCCTCCTTCCGTCCTCTCCACCCGCACATCTGGCGCTCTGTTTTCTTGTGGATGTGTGGCGCCATGGACCTCTCTACCCCTGCTCCAGGGCCAGCTTTTCGTCCCGAGCCGTTTCCTGACGGTCCCGTGGCCAGAAGCTGGTCTCCCGAGGCCAGAAACGGCAACAAACCTGCCGGCTCGATTTTTGTTGAGGCGCGGGATGTCTGTGCTTGTGTTTGGACGCCCGAAGTGGGTACGGAAAGAATGGGCACAATGCCCAACAGCAAATGTTGTCCCAAACCAACAGCGGCCGCTGCCGTGCAGGCGGCCTTCTGTCCCGAATGGACACCGGCCGCGGCGGCGCGGACAGCGAGTCCTGCTCAAAGTGAGCATGAACTGCTGTTGGGCATCGTACCCATTCTTTCCGTACCCGTTTCGGGCGTCCAAATTGTGGCTCCGAGAGCCCCCCGTGCGCCAGTCCAGCGCCGCCGCCGCGGGAGCCGCCGACGGTGCCTCCGCCGGCGGGGCGGCCAGGAGTGGCTCGGCGGAGCCGCCGGCGAAGCGGGCGCGCCCCGGGGAGGCAGCGCCCGCGCTGGCCCTCGCGGGAGGAGGGAGGGAGGAGCG